GCCCCTCAGGCAAGCCCCAGCCTGTCTTCCAACGCCCATCTTCCTTCCAGTTGCCTTGCCCCTGGGCAGATGTGAGGCCAGTCCTTGTGACATCTCACCATGCCTGTCCTGACCCGGCTAACGCATACCTAGGACCTGAGCACATGTTCTTCCCTCTGCTAAGATTGCCAACCTCTGCCTTTGCCGGCTGCCAACTCATCCTCCAAATAGCCCCCAGGAGCCCGCGGTCAAAGCCCTGGCCAGAGTCGCCCCACAGCCCATCAGCGGCCCGAGCCCCAGGTGGGCACGGGGCCAGCCACACCTCCGACCAGCACAGGGGACAGACGGCACTGGGAGGTTCTGGCTAAACAAACGAATCTACAAGTGACAGAGACAAAGCCTCCCAGAAATGCTCTCCATGAGAAATTTCTCAGTACACAGGAGCTGGCCCACCTACAGACTGCATCCGAGTCAGCTCCCCCAACTCCTGGAGTCCCCAGCACCGATTTCGTTTTATTTAGGAAATTCACCTGCAGCATCAAATGAGATACACTTCTGAGGCCCCGGACGGCCTCAGAGACAACAGACATATAAAGGGCTGCACCATGATAACCCAACTCCCCCAAGGACATTTATAGTCGTTTGCAACACGCCCGGGTTCTAACTAAATCCAGCCAAAGGCCGTGATTTTCCGAAGCAACAAGTGACATTTCCTGTGTCTCCATAAAAAGAACACCAGCGGTCGCGGGGCTCTGGTGTAATTGCAGGCAGCGGCAGGAAAAGCCTGAGGACCGGGGGCTCGGGGGCCAGCAGGGCTGGGAGAGCAGCCGCTCGCTCAGCACAGCAGTGCCCTGAGCCACAATTAGAGCAGAACCCACGGTGGGCGGGCTTCCGATGTCTGGCCAGCCACGGCCAGCCTGACCACCGCACCCCCAATCCAAAATAGAAAACTGCCGTGGTTTCTGCCACGTGCCAGGCCCCGGGGCAGCCAGACAGAGAGCACCGCCAAAGTCAGCCGCCTCCCCGAGCATCGATCCAGGCTTCTTCTGAGGCCCCCTCATGCCAAGCCGTGGTCCCCACGGGCACCTGAAACAGGAAAACGTCCCAGGACTCCAGTCACGCTGGGTGGCCCAAGCAATCCCAGGAGGGAACTCGGCCTCTCTCCTTGTCCTTCAGAGGCTGCCCGTGGGCACCAGAGCCTGCATTTCCAAACTCTCCCCTTGGCTCAAAATAGAGAGAGAAAACCGACTTTTCAAATTACCAGCTGGAGTTCAACAGGAAACCACAGCATAAAAATCAGTGGTGCCCGGTCAGCCAGGGGGCAGAGGGATAACTGGGCATTTCAGCACCACTGCCTGCCTGCTCCCTGTGCCGGCACCACCTGCACTCACAGAAACAAGAAGACGGACTGCCAGCAGACGTGTCCCCTCGCACACATATCACACACGCTAAGATGCACATGGACACACACTCAACAGATACCCGGACACCCGAAGGAGCGGAGACCCACAGATACATACATGCACGAGACACACAATGGCATTCACCTATTCGCCCAGGGTACCCAGATACGAGCACACGCCAACATTCCAAAACACGTGTGCACACGTGCACACACTCGCGGAGATGGACACACAGCTGGTTACAATAGGAAGACCTGTGCCCCGCAGGCGGAAGGGAGACCGCACTCCGGAGACCCTGACCCACTGCATAAATCACCCCTCTCGGACCCATCAAGGGGTTGGTCTTCGTGCCAACCCCTTCCTTCGGTGCCCGGTGCTCCCTACACACAGGGGTGCAGAGGAGATCCTCCGTGCAGGCCTTGGGAATCACGGACAGCCAGCGTCCAAATCCCAGGCAAGGGCAGTGGACAGAAAGGAGCAAGAGAAGTGAGTACTCACCAGCCCGTCGCAGTTGCTGAGCGCCACGGAGGAGGCTTCAGCCAGGCCCGCCACGTCTCCGACGTAGAGGCAGGTCCCGAGCAGGGGCTCCACGCGGGTGGCGCCCGACTCGCTTTGCCATTCCACCGTGGCGCCGGGCGCCACGAGGCGGGCGTTGGGCCGCAGCCGCAGGTGCAGGTCTCGGCCGAAGACCGTGACATTGTAGAAGAGGCGGCGGCCGGGGTCCTCCTCGTTGTCTCCAGGTAAGCCCGGGGTCTGGATAGGGGCGGCCCTGCGGGCCCGAACCCCCGCCTGGGCCGACGCCGCCGACACCACGTGGGACACCAAGCGGCCCTGGGCGTCAGTGCGCACCGGCACCGCCAGGATGCGCTCCGCTCCGTGCCCCAGGGGCCCGCCTGCAACGGGAAGGGGCGTTAGACCCGCCAAGACCTCGGAGCCCCAGAGCCCCGCCGCCAAGCCCCGCAGCCCCCCAGGCCACCCCCACCCCCACCACCACCACCACTGAGAAGGGAAGGGTATTCTGCCAGGCAACCCCCAGAAACGAGCCTGCACCTCCCCGGCCTTCTTCCGACTGGGAAGGGGCGTTAACCGGGCCACCACTCCGGAACCCCGCCGCCCCCAAGCAGTCCCCCTCTGGGACCCTGCCAGCCCAGCGCTCTGCCCCCTGCCCCGTTCCGGGTTGGGGCTCCGCGAGCTCCTCACAGTTCCCATGGGGACGGCCCCAGCAGAGCCGCCCCCCGCCCCTTGAACCTACCGTCCTTGGCAGGACGTGGGGCTGCTCCGAAACCATTGACGGTTGGCCCCTTACCCGTGCGCCTCGCCTCTACCCCTCCGCTGCCCCCGCCGCCCCGGCGCCCGGGCGGCTCGCCTCCCGAGCGGCGTGGACTCGGCTCCCCCGGGCACGCGCGGCCTGTCCTCCGTGTCCAGCTCTCGGCTGGACCGATGCCGGGCCCCCTCCCTGCGCGCCCGAGGGCAGGGAGGGTGCAGCAGGGTCCCTCGGATGCTCAGGGATTCCCTCCGGGGCGCCCCATCAGTCCTCAGGGCCCTCGGCGGCGCGCTCAGCACCCGGCTCCTCCCGAGCGTCCCCGGACGCGAGCCCCGGCGCCGCCTCGCCCTGGCTCCCCAGGACCCGCTGGGGCTAGCGCTGCGCTCTCGGCCGCGGGGCTTTCCCGGCCCTCCACCTCCTTGCTCCGCGTCCCGGGAGCCGCGAACGCTGCGAGGCTCCCCCCGGCCGGAGGCGCTCCGGTGCGCCGCGGGGCGCCCCCTGCGCGACCAACCCGGCCCCGAAGTTGGCCAACTTGGCCCCGGGCGGGGCGCGCGGAGTTTGCCCAAGTCGGGCTGGACGACGCCTGGGAGGGGGCGGCGGGGCACGCGCGGCGGGGCCCGGCCGCCCGGGGTCGCGGGGCGTGGGGGCCCGGCCGCACCTACCCGGGGGGGCGGCGGCGGCGGCGGCGAGCCGGGCGTCCGCGGGCGGCGGCGGCAGCAGGAGCGGCGGCAGCAGCAGCAGCAGCGGCGGCAGCAGCAGCGCGGGGCAGAGCAGGCGGCGAGCGGCTCCCGCCGGCGGATCCATGGCAGCCGGACCGCAGCCGGGGCCCCGCACTCGCTGCCGGCGCGAAAGTTCCCCGCGCGCCGCCCAGCCCACATCTGGGGGCAGCTGGAGCCGCCCGCAGCTGCAGCACCGCAGGGCGCGGGGCGGAGGAGGCGAGGCGCGGAGGGGAGGGCGGGGGAGCGCGGAGGGGAGGCGGGGAGAGGGAAGGAGCGAGCGAGCGAGGGAGGCGGGAGGGAGGAGAAGGCGAGCGAGGGGGAGGGCGGGGACGGCGGGCGCCTCAGCCTGCGGTGACCCGGCGCTTCTTGGCGCGGCCGCCGCCGCCGCCGCCGCCGCCGCCCGCTCCCCTCCTCGCGCCGCCGCCGCCGCCGCGGTTCCCGGCTCGCAGCGAAGCGGAGACACCCCGAGGCGGCGGCAGAGTAGCCCCGCGGGTCGGGCCGGGGGAGCCCCGCCGCCGGCCACCATCGGGCGCGCCCCGCGCCCTGGCGGCGCGCAACCTCGGAGGAGCGGCGCCCGCCTGAGCATCCCCACCCAGAGAGTCCGTGGGGCGCCTGGGTCCCACCCGTCAGCCTCGGGCGCAAAGACCTGCCTCGCCCTCTCTGGGCGCCCTGGGGCAGGACAGGGTGCAGGAACGGGACCGGCTTGGGGAGGCCTGAGATGGAAACTCCAGACGCTTTTAGAGGAGGGTACATGCACCGCAGGGACTATCCCAAATACCAACTTTTACCCTTACAGAGAGATGCAAGGTTCCTTCGTCCCCAACTGCTCTCTGCCTGAAGTTCCTGGCCCCCTCCAACTGCCTCCCCATCCCTCTATTGCAGCCTCTGAATACAACCTCCTCCACCCAGACGTGGGCCCTCGCTCCCAGAGCTCAGTCAGGTTGCTGCCCTCACCTGCCCTGCATCCGGAGCCTCCTGGCCTTTGCACTCCCAGGCCTGCCTAAAATAGCCTCTCTGCACTCCACCCACCTTTTCCGACTCAGCATCCAAGGCATCCCTCTCCATCCTGTAGCAAGTTTGCTGTCAAAGCCCATCCACAGATGGAACCCCTCCTCTCCAGCACAGCCTTCCCACTGCCTAGAGTCACAGTCCTCCCACGCCTGCTGTCCCCTGGCACAGTGACCTTCCCTCCCCAGGTCCCACCTGGAAACCCCCTCCTAGGCATGTGTCTGTCGGGAACATCTCTGCTGCGTGTTCTCAGGCTTCCTTGGATGGTGGACACCTTGTCCTTTTGGATTTTCTCATTCGCTCTGCCTCAGGCCTGTGTGGCCAAGGGCTTTGGGGTTGGCCTTGGTCAGGCAGGGTCTGATGACTCAGGCCCCTCCCTGCCGGCCAGGAGAGCCCAGTCTTATGGGGAAACACATGACTTGCACAACTTGCTGTAGCTGTGATTTCGCATCCCCGGTTCCGTCATCTTCAGAACCTGGATGTGAGGGCTCTCAGCTTGATGGCCATCTTCACCTGGAATGTTCCCTCTGTATCACCTGAGAGTGCCCGAGACAGGATCCAGCCCCCAGGCCTAGCGAACGCTTCTTGTCAATGCTAAAAATAGTGAAATTTCACATAAGAATTTAGATTTCGGATTTTTCTTGAGAAATTGGAAAGCGTGGCCACACGGGGCCTGCATCTCTGCTTATCCACCATGAAATGGGGCACATGCCCTGCAGTTCTCTATAGGTCTTCCCTCCCCACCCCCAAGCAGGTGTTCACTTTCGTGACCTCCGATGACATACCTGGTTCCAGAGACAGTGGATGGTGGTCAGCATATGGGAAGAGAGATGACTTCAGAGCCAGGCATCCCGGAGGACTTCCTGTAAGAAGTGGCATGGTTGAATCCTGAAGGGTGCACAAGCCAGGTAGCCCAGAGCTGGGTCTAGCGAGGTGCTGCCTTGTAACCCGTGACACTCCGTCACTCATTCCTCCTGTGGTGGCCCATGTTTTCATCCTCCTCAAAAGATGAATAAGACCTAACCAGCAGCCTTGCCTACCTCAAGGGTCGTGTTCTACCTCACTCGCTTCCCTGCCGGCTTTATGATCATTACCGTGATGCTCCTACCGCCACAGCTGTTCTTTGCACAGTACTTAATCACGGCCTTACGTTTTTACAGGATACTTTAAATCACCACCGTAATGGAAAGGTCAACATCTCACCATAATGCAAAGATAACTGCCAAAAATAAATAAAATGAAAACAACAACAACAAAAATGTTGTCATAGTCTAGATACTACTGCCTGCAAAGAGGCGCTGAGGCCGAGGCTGATTCGCAAGTGTTGGGAAAGTGTGAGGCAGACTAACAGAAGCAGAGACCTTTCCTTTGATGTAAGCAGAAGGAGGAGAGCAGAACTGGGAAGGGACGGCTCTCTGCGAATTTTCAGACGGGGCCACATAACTAAATTATCTTGCACACTCTGACATTCCAGCTCTAGGATACTTTTTGGAAAGAGGGTTTGTCTCCTTGACACTCCAGAATAAGCCCTGGCAGCTTGCTTCCTGCATCATCCCTGACCTCCAGGGGCTCCCCCCAGGCATGAGTGGGAGGCAGATCACGACCCTTGACATGCCCATCCTTGAATCCCCACCGTGAGAACCCACAAGGCCAAGCAGAGAGTATCAGGCACTCATGCATTGCAATTCATGTAGGGGGCCCTTGTTGACTTGTCCCAGCTCCCTGATCACCTCTCCTCAGCTCAAAAAAAGAAAAAAGGGGGGGGCACCTCCTACATCTTCAAATTTCCATGGTTTCAGATCTCTCCTCTTCCTCTTCTGGAAAACACTGGCCTACCCCTGGTGCTTGCCTCTCCCTCTGGTCCTCTCCTCCTTCAGGTGAGAAGTGGGACAAAGAAATCCTCCTGGTTCTTTGCTCAAGTATTCGGTCCAGATCGCAAAGGCACAAACTAAGGACCACAGGGTCAACTCAACTACAACACTTGATTAGCATGTGTCACGTGGGTCTGCTTTTAGTTGGACATGAATATCTTAGATCTGGCTTGCTTGACAGTGTCCCCACCACTCCCACAGTCCTACACGTCCTCATGGCTCACGATTGTTACCAGCCTAGTCCCTGAAGGTCTGGGGTTGCAACCATGATCTAGAGCTGCCCCATGTTGTGGGAGAAGGATGAAGACAGTTCAGGGTGATGTCAGGCCCTCCAACCCTTAAAATCTTCCCAAGGATGTGAGGTACAGAAAGAGAGGAGGACCTTTCCTGGTCACCTCGGGTGTCACAAATCCCTGCCCGTGTCTCGGGGCAGGGACTTTAAGAAAGGAGAATGTCTTCCTCTCTGCCTGGCCCAGCTCTGGACGAGAGGGGGTGCCCTGCCTTGTTCTGAAGACTTGGGGGCAGGGTCTGGGCTCTACCCTCGAGATTCCAGGCCATACAGACTTCATCAGAGCCATTCCTGTCCCCTGGTGGCCATAGAGAAACCAAAAAATTGTTCTGCCCTTTGACGAGGTCACCATCCTTGGCAGGCCCTCCCCGCTCTGCGGGCAACAAGCAGATGGAGGTAATGAGGAGATGGAGGTTTCACTGTCCTTCCTCCCAAAGAGCAAGCTTCCAGGGGGTGGGGGGAGGGACCTAGACTCTTCCAGTCTCCAGGGACCCGTATGCAGCATATAACAAGCCATGAGGTCTCCGTGACCTTGTCAGGGGCCTCTGAAGACAGCTGCTCTGTCCCCCTCTGCTGTTGGCAACCGGCGGATGCAGGGGCCCTGTCTGATGCACCAGCAGAGTTCTGGCCAGGAGCGGCCTGGGTAAGCAATCTGTCAGGGGAATGCTGATGGAACAGAACGTGAAGGCCGGGTGGCCTTTGGGGAGTGTGCTTCTTAATTTCTCGAGCATGCACACACACGCGCGCACGCACGCGCCCCGACAGAGAGCTGTGTCAGGCAAAAGAGGAAACAAGGACAGCAGTGTTTTTCATTGTCACGTCCCACCCAGAGGTGTTCCACCACCGCTGGGATCCGTTCTGCCTGGAAGGGAAAGACAAAGTGCTTACAACGTGAAGGCTTGGGGATCCAGGCTCAATCAACACTTCTAAATGGAGACACAGCTGGAGGCTCAGACTCAATCTAAGCAGTAATGACCCGGGGAAAAATAAAAGCTCGGTGCTTCCTTGTGACTGCCTACTCTCACGTATGCTCCACCCGGCAGAGAGGCAGCGAGGCCCAAGAATTTCCAAGGCAGTGTCTGGGTGGGGCAGCTGTGAAGTCCTAGGCCCACTTGGATCAGGGTCTAGACCGTCTGGTCCAGCTCTCCCATCTGAGAAAGGCCTCTGGGTCCCTTAAGATCCCCCGAAGGAAATGTTGATCTCATGTATCAGGAGGGCTGCAGGTAGGGTGGCTCCAGACGCCACCTGCCACCTGGGTATCACCTTTGCTCCTGACCGCATAGAAGGATGGCCAAACCACACGCAGGTGTCCTGCCCTCTCCCAGAAGGGCCGGCTAACTCTCCTCTGGTCTGTGGGCCAAGGCTGGGTCACATGCCCGTTGCTGAACCAGCTGCTGACAAGGGGCAGAGGCTATTCCTAGGACAAGCCTGAATCAGCCGTCTGGGGCAGAATGCCTGTTAGAGGTCAGCCCCGATGCCCACCCCCACCCCCGCCCCCACACCTCGCTTGCCTTTATTTCCAAATGAGAGCAGAGTGCAGTCCCACGCTCACCCCAGCCTGCTGAAAGAAGACATTCTTCATGAGACTTTATGTCCCATTCCCAGACGACACCCTCTGTAGAGCATAGAGAATTAATGTCTTTACGTATAAATCCTGTCCATAACTTGTGAAAGGCACAGTCCCATCACGGGGTTTTCTGTTCCAATGCTTTGTGAGCCTAACTGGGCACTTCCTCCCTTACAATCCAGGGAATGTCAGCCAGTGACCCTGGCCGATTGCTGGACCCCACGGCTTACAGGTCACACTCCCCTTGTGTCAAATTTCTTCTATCCTGTTTGCCCGACCCTGCCCTGATCCCAGCATCTAGAGTGTGGGCATGAAAAGGGCCAAAGCTTCCGGCTGGGGCTGGCAGTGGGGCTAACCATGGGATCCTAAGTCCGAGAACCCCGTGGAAGGAAATTCTGGATGCAGGGATGCAGGTTTTGGCCATCACTGAAGCCAATGCAGACTCCCTGGGGACCCCTCTGCTCCTCCAGAAGGTCCAAGGAGGCCTCACTGCCACCCAAGGCCCCATCCCTAGTAGGAAGGTCCTGATGGATGCCACCCCGCCTCCACATACATGGCCCCTCCTCAGCTATGTCTCCAGCCCCTTCCCTCCAGGGTAGTCTCACTCTTTCCTGCGGGTTTAAGAGCGGGCACACCAACCACCCCAGCCAGGTCCATTCTGCACTGTTAATGCGATAACCCCTAGCATCTCCATCAGCGTGTCTCAGATCCCCAGCTACTCACAGCCCCATCTCAACCCCATCCCCGCCCCTGCTTTGGTCCTCCTTGGCTCACAACTGGCATCTCCACTCCCACCGGGGCCCTGGGGGCATCCCTGTCTCCTCAACTGTAGGGCTGGGATCACACACCTCACCCCCCTGCCAGGGTCGCGCAGAGCTTGGATCGACAATGAGGCTGAAGAGTTCCTTTGGAATAATGAGGCAGACCTCCTAATTAGAGAGCTCCCTTCCCCACCCTATCACTATTGCTGCCTGGGCATCACGGCTCACCAGCATCGATGATTTCAACTACTCAAGGTAGCCCTGAGCCCCGGGGCTTGGACTCTATCAGCCCCTTTCCAGGCTTGTGACCTCAGGAAATTTACGTAACCTCCCCATGCCTCAGTTTCTTAAACTGATCCATAGCAGAGCGGGCCCTCCATATCTTAGCTGGTATTGCTTTCTATCCCTCCCTGTACCTGGCTGAACACATAGTATGGTATTGGGCTCTAGACACCAAATCGTGCTCACGGGAAACTTTCCAGCGTACTCTGACCATATGCTTTTTTCACGGCATCGCTGACTTGAGAACAAAATCCTGGCTCTATGGCAAGACATGGGTGGCTGGGATGCCAGGGTGTCTTTTGGCCTAACAAACAACCCTGCCAAAGGCTTGCAAGGAAATCCTATGATTGACAAAACACAGCCTGGCACGTAGTAGGTGCTCAGTAAACATTTGCAGAATGCATCAACAAAATAAGTTCCAAAGGTCGACACTATGAAGAAAATAAAAAGAAGCACGTGATATAAAACGCATGGGACAAGGAAGGGGAAGGTGGGGGAAGGTTTTAGCTAACAGCTGATCAGAGAGGAGTTACGGGGAATGGGCAGTCTAAGCAATGAGCGTCTGAAGCAGGGAGACCAGCACATGCAAAGGCCCTGAGGCAGGAAGGAGCTTTCTCTGCTCCAGGGAAAGAAAAGCAGCAAAGCCCAGGGTGGTAAAAGAAGGAAGAGAAGGAGGGAGGAAGTGAAAAAGGGAACATGAGGGGATGAGAAATGAGGCAGAGCCTTGCAGGTCTCAGGTAGGAGGTTGCATTTTGTTCTAAGTGGACAATTTTTTTCCCCCCAGGAACTGGGAGCCCTCACCAGGACAGTGGGCAGGGGCTTCCCAGCCCCCTTCTCAGGAGAAGGAGCACACATGTCCAAGCCCCCGACTATCCCCATCTGCCCTGGTCAGAGATGACTAGCCGGACTGGGCGCCATGGTTTTCTCTTCCCGCTGGAGTGGACAGATGTCGACACAGGGGTCCGTGTGGCACCGGGGCTATTCTGCTGGTGAGTTAGCAAAGCTCTGAGGTAAACTGTCTCCCTTGATCATCATTGACATCCTATTCCCACGTTCAGATGAAGAAGCCAAAGCTCCGGGATGGTAGTCCCCAGCGGAAGGGAGCTGGTGGGACCCCACGGACCCCCACCAGACTCTGAGCGCTCACTTCCCACAAGGGTGCTCTTCCGAGCCCCCTGGCCTCCTGGAGTTTGGACTCGAGCACCCTTCCTACAAATCTCGCTCTTTGTCTCAAGTAGCCATCTTTAGCTGTGGCTTATAAACTCAAGAGGCCTACGGTGTGATGCATACGGGGCTGCTCACTGGTAGCCAACAGAGTTTTGTGTTTTAATTTTAATTTGCTAAGATTTTTAAAAATCAAAAGATTTCCCATGAAAAAGGTGTCTATGGCTTCTCGTAGGCGGCGGGGAAGGGGGGAGCATGTCAGGCCACGGGGCAGTCACAAGCCGGAGCAGAGTGGAGCACAGCCTTCAGACGCTTTCCCCACCCCCACTGTCCCACCTCTGTGGCCTTCAGGTGGGGAGAGTGCCCCCCTCCCCGGGACGAGTGAGGCTGTGGCCGCCCAGGGAGGAGAGGCCAGCTCTCCAGCACAGCCAGGCTCTCCATCCCGATCGCTCCCCTGCTCCTCCACCATCTCACAGTGGGGCCTCCACAACAGCCTCCGATTCCTGGAACTTTCCAAGACGCTCCTTTTCCTGGTCCCCCATGGTACCAGGGGCCCCCTTGCTGCTCTCCCAGAGACCGCCCCGCCCACTGCTGAGGATGCGGGGCTCTCCAGCTGGGAGTCTGAAAGCAGAGGCTGCCGGGAGGGGAGGGGTGTGGGGGGGAATGTGGGCGTGAAGGGGTGGGGTGTTGCCACAGGAGGACTGCCATTTCTGGGGGCTTGCCAACAAGTTTATGTGAGTGGAAAGCAGGAAGCGAGTTCAGGGCACCTGACAGGCCACTGTCCCAGAAGCTGGGAGGCAAGAGCGTTCGCTTGCACATGCGTGTGCAGACACGCACACACACCACCCCACTCACGCATGCTGGCCCCGTGCACAGGCAGGCACGCAGACGCGCAGTGACCCCAGCCCGCAAGCATCCCCGGACCCAGGCTCCCGCCCGGAGCCCGGCCCCGCCCCGGCCTCCCTAACTGCATTTCTGAAAATGAGAGAGAAGGAATCTAATGAGTCTCAGGCAGCCACCGTCCCCCCACGGCGATTTCCCATCTCCTTTCTGCGCGACCACGCAACAGGGCAGCCTGAGTTCTCAGCTGGGCCCCAGACTCCTTAGCAACCCTCGGCGGGTCGACGCCAAGCAGGTCCGTGGACTGAGCCAGCCTGTGGCCTCTGAATGTCCTTGCCTGCCCTGGCCGCGAAGGCTGTGGACAGAAGCTGCCGGCTCTCCTGGGCGTTGTGATGATTGGGAGCCCCTTGCCTGCTTGCTGGGGCCACCAACGCCCCCAGAGGGCTTTCTGTTCTCAGGGTCCTCCACAGAGCATGGGACCTCAGCCCTTCCTTATCATTACTGAATCCAAGGGCCCTGCCCCATGCCTCTGAGCATCCTCGAACCCAGGGCCCAGGGCTGGGCAGAGAATGCCTTCCCTGTAAGTCTCTGCTATAGTATCTGTCCTCCTCCTGACCCACTCTGCGGGCCCTCTGATAGGGAGCCCCTCCTCCAGCACACGCCAGACGCCCCCTTATTCCACACAGCATCTCAGACAGAGCCCAGACAGAAGGTCACTGTTGACCATAATGTTGTTTTCAATTTTTGAGCAGGCAAATCATATTATCTGGGACCCTCTGATCTTTCTTATATAACCACAGTAAAGCCTTTCCCCCTCGCCCTTGGGTGTTGACGATGGGCATTTTGAACCCGATCATGGGTGTCACTGGTTTCCTTTCACTGGCTTTATGCTGTAAGACGATTTGGTGCAGACCTGAGCAACAGCAGGGTCGCAGGGCTGGGTGGATCCAAGGGTGACAGAGCCCCGGTCTGAGGGACCAAGGCCCTACTTTCCTGAATCCTCCCAGGGCATGAGACTGACTTGAGAATTGCAGAGCCAGGGGCGTCCTGGGCAAACCCTGAGCTCTGGGAGCGGCAAACAATGGAGGGCAATGTGGCACAAGGTCCATTGAAGACCCTCTGAGCGCCAGGATTTCCTGTCACGTGGCGCCAGGCAAATGGATGCTTCCTAAGAGCCAGACCTCCTCTCACTAGACGTGGACCTGGGCCTCGCTGGACCCCGTGCGTCCACTTTGCTGGACCCTGGACCTTGGTGGCCTCGCTAGACTCCCCAGCCTTGTCCCCACGGGCCCCCTGCCGCCCTTCAGCAACCTGCCCCGGGTTGGGGGGTGCAGGGGGCCCCCACTTCTGTGTTACTGGCACAGCTCAAGCCTCGCCCTCCCCTCTGCAGGAGGCTGAGGCTCCTAAGGAAGTGCGTTGTGCAAAAGCCCTACTCCACCAAGCAAGCTGTCATCCTGGAGAAAAAAATAAAACCCTCCCAGCCTCACTTATAACAAACTCAGTCTGTTGTGCAACTTTGCAGTACAAAATGTGCGTGTGCCCAATCTCCCGGCTGTTGCATAATTTTCCAGCGGTTTTCAGGATTATTTCATTCCCCGTCTGGCGTATTTCACAAGCCATATATAAAAAATTAGATACATGTAAATATACAGTTGAGCATATGTGTGCAACGGAGCGACAAGTGTAAAAGGAGGGGAAGGAGGTGGGGGCCAGGACTTAGGAAAAAGGCAGATGAAACAAGTGTAAACATTTTGAATGCCACCTTCTAGAAGTCTGGGAGAGTAGGAGAACTTGGACTCAATTTAAATTTAAAGCAAGACATTTGTCCAGTAGAATCTATTTCAACGTGGTGGCGTTTGATTTCCCTCTTTGCTGGTGGTTATTTTGTTTTTGTTTTTTGGGGAGTTTGGGTTTTCTTTAAAAAAAATCCCTAAAACCCCACCATTTCTGTAAAAGAAAGTCTGTGAGCATCTTCTCGCCAACTATTTCTTAACAGCATAACCCGCGATGGCCTTGTGAGGGGCAGAAAGGCATTGAGATGACAAATCCCCTCCAGGGCCTCGTCGTCAGTGGAGAACCATCCAGACACAAGTTTTTCTGCACTTCCTCCTCCCGGCAATCCTGAGCTGCCGCTGGGCCCCCTGCCTCCCCAGGGGTCTGTGGGTTCCAGGTCACACAGGAGGACCCTCTCCTTCTGGAACCAGCCTCTGCCCAGAATGGTGCCTGTGACAAGGGAACAGAGGGACCCGCCGGGGCCAGCTGGACTGCAAGAGGCTTGCAGGCAGAATCCTGCCCACAGGCGTGTTTGGTTGGGACAGCACAGTGACTTTCTTTTAAAACTGAATTCAATATATAGCTACAAAAATTAAGAGACTTCCAATTAGAAATGTAGATTCTGGGGGCGCCTGGGTGGCTCTGTCGGTTAGGCATCTGCCTTCGGCTCGGGTCGTGATCCTGGGGTCCTGGGATCGAGCCCTGCATCAGGCTCCCTGCTCAGGGGGCAGTCTGCTTCTCCCTCTGCTGCTCCCCCTGCTTGTGTTCTCTCTCTCTCTCTCAAATAAATAAATAAAATCTTTAATTAAAAAAAGAAGAAGAACAAAAAGAAATATAGATTCTGGGCTCCTTTGGATCAAATAAAATACCCTGGCTGAGCAGAGCTTAGGAGAGGCTGTCCCCTCTGTTTCTGCCCTTCCTCCCTGTGTCCGTTAAGGCTTGCCTCCCGAACCGCCCTGGAACCTAGGGACATAAGCAACTCACCGCTCGGCAGGTTGGTGGAGGCACTCGCTCTCCTGGCAGGACAGGTCTGCGGGGCAGCTGGGGTGGCTCTGCTCCACACTGGCCCAGGGCACAGAGACGGCAGCTGCTGGAGGAAGCCCATCTCATGGAGGAGACCAGAAGTTTCTAGAATGGGAAGCACGAATACACACACAACGCTTCTGAGCCCTGGGATCCAAGCCAGCACACCGTCCCTCCCTCCCATGTACCCTGGGCTAGCCAAGACACACGGCCCAGCTTACGGGAATGGGGCAAATGGCCTCTCCATCCTGGCAAGCGAAGCTGCAGAAGCCCCCGGCAGAGGATGTAGATACAAGGGCATGAGCTGGATTGGATGGTGTTTCCCCAAAAATGCACGTCCACCCAGAACCTCGGAAAGGGACCTTATTTGGGAATGGGGTCTTCGCAGATGTGATGAATTAAGATGAGGTCATGCTGACTTAGAGTGGGTCTCTAATCCAATGTGAATGGTGTCCTCGGAAGAAGGGAAGTGCAGTCATAGAGACAAAAACATGGAGAGCACCATGTGATGGCAGGCAGAGACCAGGGCGATGTCTACAAGCCAAGAAACACCAAGGGTGGCCAACGGCCGCCATGAAGCCAGAAGAAAGACATGGAAGAGATTCTTTCTCAGAGAAGAAACTAACTTTGCAACACCTTGATTTTAGATTTCTGGCCTGCGGAACTGTGAGACGGTATGTTTCTCTTGTTTCAAGCCATCCAAACTTGCGGTAATCTATCACGGCGGCCGTAGGAAACTACCACAGGATGGGTGGGGAATTGGGAACAATGATATAATCTAACAGACTGCCTTCACGGACACAATTATTCAAGACTCTCCCGCTTGCAAAATACACTCAGTCCCGCCCAAGACAACCAGTCGTGGCCTCAAGCTGAAGTCCAGAATCGCATGTTCTAAGTCAGACCTGGATATGAGCGACTCCCACTCCAGAGACCTATGGGACAAAAAGAGAAGCCGTCTTCGCTCCTCCCCCCTCCTCCACCCCCTGATACACGCAGAGCAGGGACAGAATCACCCGGCAAACACTCCCATTCCAAAAGGACAGGAGGCCCCAAACAGTCATTGACCCACAGCAGCTCTTAATCCTTGTTGGAGAAACATTGCCAAAACTCTACCCTGGGGTAGGCAATGTTCTATAATTAGGCTCCAGGTCCTCTCCCTGGGGCTGGATCCCCCATCCTTTTTTGTCAGGGGCTCTTGGCTCTATTCTCTGGGAAATCGTTCCTTCTCTGCCATTCTCCTTGGTCACTTCTGAGAAGGACACTGGAAAATATGCCCTTCGTGGCAGATGGAGGTTTTCTCAGCCAGCATCTTGCTCATAAAAAATTAGTGGCACAAGATTTTGTTTTCCTTCTTGAGTAGTCTCAGTCTTTTTTCCTCCAGCTTCGTGGGCTTTTGCCAATGCAGTTCTCTCAAAACAAAAAGCAAAAAAAAACCTGTGGGTTTCCTATGTATTTCATTGCATGGGCTAAAAGCCATATTCGCAATGTAATTCAAGACATGTCTCTCTCTGCACTTAATGACCGGTGCGGTGGGTAGCTCTGGCTGCCGCAGAACCATTCCATGGATCTTTCTAGTAACTACTAGGCACCATTGAATTCTTCCGGATGCCTTCACAGGGGTCTGAAAGCTGTGCCTCTGCTTCACTCTCTGCCCCCCAAGCTACATCTTAATAGCAATGCCCTTGATTTGACTTTTCTCCAAAGCTGTCTCTTAATTTGCCGAATGGAGGAGCTGGGGACTGGAAATAGTTTTATTTGTCAACCCAGCAAGTCCCAGATTTTCCAGACTCTTCCTTCTCTCTCAGTTCTTCCTGAGATCCGGCCAAGTTGTTCCTGGGCTGTCTCTTCTTTGTAGTTATCTACAAAGGCTGACAACAGGAACCCAGTCGTGACCGCAACATTCTCCCTGGACGCTCCCAGCCCACGGCCAGGAGCGCCTTAGGCACACTTTCCAACCTCCAACCCACTGCAAGTTTTAACAAATGTTCCACTGCTCCATTAGACAGGTTGTCATTTTTCTAGCCTCCTCTGACAATTTCTGGTTCCCAAACCACCACCGTATGTTGCAGTTTCCCCTTCTAGGTACCACTTTCTGTAGCAGATACCCGCTGCAATCCTAACACCACATCCAAGAACCTCAAACTCAGAGCAACAATAATGCATGCTCACGCTCACAGCTCTACCCCCTGGGTGTGCATCCTGTGCAGCTCCCAGAGGAAACATATCTCATGGAGGAGGCCAGAAGCTTCTAGAAGGATGAGCATGCAAGCTTAAAGCCTGGGCTCCAAACCAGCACACAGTCACTGCCACTGAGGTTCCACGGGCCAGGAGAACCGCATGAATGAGGCGGGACATCCATACGACTCTAGGGGGAGAAGCTGCAAAGTCACTGGGTACGAGGTGTGGACACAGGGCTTTGTGAGGAGGTGCGCACGATGATGTGACCCAACACACCTTAGATTGAGTTATCCTCATTGGACATGTTTTCATACCCCAAAAGTACTAGTCCTTAACAAGTGAAATGATCCCAAAAGCACGTATCTCTTCCCTGTGCAGCTCCCACATGTTTCTCCTTGTGGAGAGAGAAGGAAGAGGTCACATGAGGCGTGAGGTCTGCTCATGCAGGCAGAGCGAGAAGCAAGACGGATGCAGGGAGAGGGCTGTGAGCTCGCTGGCGGGAGCTCTGGTCCTGCTTCCAGCACAGAGCAGGCCGGAATGTTCTTTCCGCTCAGGATTTTGATGATCCCTTCCCATCCTCAACCCAAGGTCCCTGGTTGGCTCAGGACAGTTCAGATGGGTTTCCCTGCTGCATCAGTATCCCGTGGCTGCCACAACAAGTCCCCACCAAACAGGTGGCTTAAAACAACAGAAATGCATTCTCTCCCAGTCCTGGAGGACGAAATCCAAGTGTCAGCAGGACCACGCTCCCTTCAGAGGCTCCAGGGAAAAATCCATTCCTCTCCTCTCCCAGCTTCTGGTGGCCACATTGCTCCAATCTCTGCCTCCTGGTCACATCGCCTCCTTCCCTCCCATGTGTGTTTGTGTCAAGTCTCCCTCTGCCTCCCTTGTGGAAAGACACGTGTGATTGCATTTAGGGCCCGCTCATATAATCCGGGATAATCTCCTCATCTCAGACTCTTCAATTTATTTGCCAAATACGGTCACATCTACACTTAACTTGCAACCAACCAGAGTTTCCAAGACTACACCCAGAATAGGGAGAGGCAAGTCAGCGAGAGCGAGAGCGAGAGCGGGGTCTTGCCTACCAAGAGCAGAGGGAGGGCATCCAGGAAGAGGCAGCAGCGAGGGGGAAAGCCGAAAGCATGGACATGCATGGTGCATTCAAGAAATTACCCCAGATTTCAGCTCCATTGCCTCCTCGGGGACCACAAAGAGATCACCAAAGGGCATAGGTATTTCCTCTCTGTTCTCTGAGCCTACAATTAAGTCCAAGCCAGGCACCACTTTTCCCTAATGAAAATGTCTTTTACCAGCAAAGCTGACTCTGTAAAGGAAAGCCCTGCTTTGATGAAACCAGTCCTTTAAAATGAAACATTTTATCAAAAGCCATAACACGATCCCCGTGAAATTAAACCGGGAAGACAGACATTCTAAATGCCCCAGATGCTGGTTTTGATTTTTTAAATTGTCAGTTAAATTAAAGTTGGGCCGTGGAGACTCAATGCTCAGCTTGCCTTCCTGGAGGGAAATGCTCTCATACGCCTCCCCTCACGTGTCCCCCTCCTCCTCGGGCAGAGCTCTCGGACGCTAGAGCCAGTTCTCGCCTGCAGGCCTGCTTCTGTTCCGGGTCTGGAAGCCAGGGAGACACTGTGAGGGACCAAAACTCTTTACTAGATAAGTGGGGAGACTGCCTTGTGCCAGACCCTGTCCCAGCACAGCAGAGAGGTCCTGCCCAGCTACACGAAGGGTCAGAGGTTGACAAGAACTAGTGGATCACTCATGGTAATACAGAAAGTGACAGAAACTGACTTGGGCTGACTTTGCAACCAAACCAATGTGAGTTGGCTCCTTGGTGAGTCAGAAACTGCATGGGGTTGAGTTGCCGCACAGAGAAAACTTTATTTGCAGCAAATAAGATCACGGGGAATGGCTTCCAAAACCAGGACTCCCAGAGCAAGGGGGGATGGGATCCTTTTGTTTAGGGTTAGTATGAATAAATATTTAGATGGGGAAGCCTGGTCGTCCTACGCAGAGGTGGGCATAAGGTTACGCATGCACCATAAGGGAACACGCCTATGCACACATTGCATGTTATGTGAATGAGGTCATCCTCCTCCTTGGGGGGAGATTGTAGTATTATAATGAGGTAGAGGTAAATGTCGGTCATTCTAGAGGTCACTCCACTGTCCATCTGCACAGGGGTCGGGGCTCTAGCTCAAACTGGTCTGGGTGGTCTGGGCTGGCTGGAGATCCTGTCCGGGCAGCTGCTATTGCTGGAGGTTTTGCTTTCCATTTGCCTGAGTTAAGGGATAAGCTGGAAAGAAAGGCTTAAGGAAAAATGTGGGACAAAGGTCAGTGAGTACAAGCAGGTGGGCAGTAAAGGTCAGGTCTTGGCATCTAGCTGGTGACAACTTAGGCGAAAAAGGAATTTACCATTTTCACAAAATTAAAAATTGAGGGGTAGTTTGGCCTTGGCCATCTGAAATAACATCCTCAGAACCCAGTTTCTGTCCCTCCAAATTTCTTCTCCCCTTCCTTCAGGTCGCTCCCTTGGGTCACCACACTGGAAGTCTCCTCATGGTGCCAGAAGGGTTGCCGCAGATCCGGCTTCACGTTCGCACAACCTCAAGCCCCGAGGGAAAACAGATTGCTTCCCCCAGGGCTCAGACTGAGTCCCAGGTCTCTGATGGGCCCAAATGGGGTCGGGTGCCCATCCCTGAACCCATCCCATGGTCAAGATGATGAAATTTACTGAGGGGCCAGGCCTGAGCCACGTGATCTGCCCCTGAAGCCAGGGCTGGATCAGCTTCACCCCAACTACATGACCCACAAAATCCATTAGTGTCCCCTCACAGTTCTAACTCAGAGCATGCCTGCTAAGCCAGAAAAGAAGTTAATTCCTATGACATGGATGGTCCAGTTTCTCAGCTCGGGCTGCCATGGCAAAATACCACAGACCGGGGGCTCGACAGTAGTTTCTTTTCTCACAGGTCTGGAGGCTGGAAGCCTGAGAGCAAGGTGCCAGCATGGTCAAGTCCTGGCGAGGTCTCCTACTGGTTTGCGTTTGACCAACTTCTTTCTGTGCCCTCACGTGGCCTCACGTGGTCTCTTTTCCATGTACACACACGCACACACAGAGAGAGAAAGAGAGACCTATCTCTGGTGTCTCTTCCTCTTTTATAAGGACACCAGTTCAATCAGGGCCCACCCTTATGACCTCATTTAACCTTAATTATTTCTTTAAGGCCCTATCTCCAAATACACTCACACTGGGGCTTAGGGCTTCAACATACAAATGGAGGAGGGGGTAAAATGCATCCAGAATAAGGGCCAAACTAACCAGCTGTATGTTTCTAGGGGTTCTGTGTAAGCATGGCAGGAAATCCCATGAAATTCCAGTATAATAAGCAAGTGGGGAACTGTCCAAGATCAAATAGGAGCTGAAGGTCAAGGTTACAACCACACACCACCACCACCAGCCAGCCCAGCCCTCCTCCGGGACCACCAGCACCCTGATGGGAGAGGGGAGCCCTGGGGCAGTCTGGCCCCAACAACTCCACTTACCTCCTTTCAGAACTCAGTCTCGGGGGCGCCTGGGTGGCTCAGTCGTTAAGCGTCTGCCTTCGGCTCAGGTCATGATCTCAGGGTCTTGGGATCGAGCCCCGCATCGGGCTCCCTGCTCGGTGGGAAGCCTGCTTCTCCCTCTCCCACTCCCCCTGCTTGTGTTCCCTCTCTTGCTGTGTCTCTTTCTGTCAAATAAATAAATAACATCTTTAAAAAAAAAAAGAACTCAGTCTCAGACTCCAAGCTGGGGGTCTCCTGACCCACCTCGAAGCCACCTGTCTCTTTTGTCTCTTCCCATACCCTACCCTCACCCCTTGTGACCCCGGGCTCAGGCACAGCCCACCCTCTCCGACGTGAGAGGGCTTTCAGGGGTTTGTTTGCCAAAATTGGAATCATATCGTACATATCAGCAGCTAACTGTTCGCACTTGCTAACGCATCATGGACATCCCTCCAAGACAGTAGCTAGAGGTACATCCTGCTTTCTTGTAATAGTTGCTTAAAAGCCCAGAGCTGCAATTTGTTCAACTCCTGTGTTTATTGACATCTTTAGATTGTTTGCTGGTCCGCGTGTGCGCGTGCGCATGTCTGTTACCGCCAGCAGCCCTGTAATAAACATCCCCGATTCCTTGCGTATTGGTACTTTTAGTTCTATAGGATAAAATCCCCAGGGTGGGATTGCCAGGTTAAAGTTAATGTGTATTTTTAGCTTAACAGATATCACCAGGTTTTCCCTAAAGGATTGGGCAATCAGCAGGGTGCACAGTGACCCTTCGCCCACAGCCCTGCAGCGCAGAGTGTCACTGCTTTTTTGGATTTTTGCTAATCTGGTATGTGACCACGGCACCTCATTGTCTTAATTTGCACCTCTTGACCACCAGAGGGGAGGCTGAGCCTGGATGCGTGGGTTTATAGGCTCCTGTGGCGCCCGAGGGAGACAGAGGGGTCAGAGAAGGCTTTCCTGAGGCCGTGGGTTCTGGGTATGCAGTAACTGAATTAGGCTGGAGAAGAGGAAGGGGAGGGGAGAGGAGGGAAGAGCAGGGTGGAGGCAGAGAGGACTCAGCGAGAAAGTTCTAGCTGGTTCCAGAAGAGCAGCGTGGACAGAGTAGTGGCCAGACAGGTGGCCAGGGGCTGCCGACAGCACCAGGGGTGTGACATAGACCTTCTATTTAAATGCCTTTAAAGGGATCCCTGAGCTGGGATAAGGAACTTAGCAGAGATTCCATTCTAACCCAGCTCTGTCGTCAACTAACCCTCACCTTAGGCATCCCCCTTCCCCTCTGGGCCTCAGTTTCCCGATCTGTAAATTCAGAGAACTGGTCCAGTCGATCTCCTAAGCCCTTTTAGCTCTAAAATAATCTGAGAGGTCCAGCAAAAGCCTGAACTGAACGGTAAAAGCCTGAACACAGAGCAGCCCTGTTATAGAAACAGGAATTGGAAAACATTTTTTAAAGTCAATGGGCGCTCTAAGATTCAAATTTCAAAGGGAATTCCCAAGAATCCGTTTTGTGATCTGGGACCCCTCACTCCCTTCCAGGGTGTGGTTGGACCCCACAGAGGGAGTTCTGTCCCGGGGGGTGGCTGGGCAGTCAGAACGAGGTCAGGTGCTGCTGGGAAGAGGCTTCTGCCTGCACAAAGGGACGCAGGGACCCAGGGGCTTGGGGGAGAGGCTCAAGAATCTGTGAACTGCAGAGCCTGTCTCAGCAGTGACCCCCACCTGTGAACCACCCCCCCCAGCTAGCCCTGCTCCCACACTATGCCACCCCCACTTCTCCCTGCTGGGGGGCGGGAGGAAGCGAGAGACAGAGACAAGGACACCCCACACCTTCCCCAGGCCAACAGTTCCCCACGGCGGGAGGAAAATGCCCTATTACTGAACAAGATTGAAATGGTGACGAATATGCTGGATGGGACAGCTAAAGGCATTGAAAAGACACAGCATTTAAGGTGTAAAGAAGACTGTTTCTTTTGGAAGGGCCAGCCTGGGTGAGGGCACGGAGGAAGTCAGCAAACGGGACAGGTCAGCGGCGTGGGGCTCGACTGAGAAGCCAGGTTCTCCCGAGAGGAGACCTTTCGGCTCCCCACCCCCTCAGACCTCCACCCTGCATCCTGCAGCCTTGGCACCAGCGGAGAGATGCTCGGGGAATGGCCTCCGGTGGGCTACTTCGGGCTCTGATGAAGATGTCCTCCTCCTCCACTGCCCTACGATTAGTTAAAATGTTAATAGGCCCCTCAGTGGGCCAACAGCCTGGAAACCTCAGGGCTCCAGCTCTCCTCTGTTCCCATCACCCAGCCCCCAACGAGATGTAGACCCAGGCCCCCACAGAGAGAACCCGAGGTGCCCCCCCTCCACAATGTGTGCAGAGCATTGAGGGCTGCGCAGCAACAGCACCATCAACACCATCCCAGGGTCTGGGAGGACTCACTGGAAGGTCCTGGTTCCGGGACATTTCTTAGCCTGTGCTGCCTGTGGGGCCTGGGTCTTTCTCTTCTTCATCCCCTGTCCCCAGCTTTGCCCTCTGGACAATGGCCAGCCCACTCCACCTTTGCCTTTCAGACGTGAGACAGGGTAGGGGAGTGGGTTCTGCTGGTCCCATCACCGAGAAACTTCAGAGACTCGCTTTTCCTGTCTAAACAATGGGCCTCATGCAGATTTTCAGGCTGATATGCAGGGAGGATGAGGACTGGAGTGGTGATTAGGAAAGACATCCATCCACCCCCTAGAGCACTGCTTAGTGGGCCAGATCCCTGGGGCTGATCTTCAGGCTCAGGACTCTGCAGGGAGAGGACACAGAGCCCATACAAGCCCCATGAGCAGGGTGGGCCTGGGGGTGGCAGTCCGCAGTGACTCTCTCTAAGGGAATGGCCGCTCCCTCCACCTTCTCACCTCCAGCTCCATCCCAGGAGCTTTTCTGGCTGCAAACCCACCAGCTCCCTCCTCTGACCTCACTCCTGCTGCCCTCAGGGTAGAGCCCAAGCCCTTCCCTGGACTTCCAGCCCTGCAGGCTGCCGCCCCTGCCTCCCTCTGAGCACCTCTCATGGGTCTCCCCCTTTCCAGCCCTCTGCACCATCCCTGTTCCCCGAAGACACCTTGTGTGTCCCCTGCCTCTGGGCCTGGCCTGGGCTTCTTCCACCTAAAATCTCTGCATCCAGTCTCTCCCCCGATCCTACCCATTCAATGGGAGGTGGACAGCCACACATCTGGGCACAGACTCAGGGCGGCGCCAGGAGCCAGGGATGTGCAGACAACCCACCAGCCAGCGCGTGTCTCCCCCCCACAGACAGGAAGGGCATTGCCATGTCCTCTCCCAAGCTGCTGGGGAAGGATGCTCAGGAGCAAGCTGACCTATTAAATGTACATGGAGTCTTCAGTCCTTCCCAGGGCCCAGGAGAACCTGATATGGACCCACTTTGGCCTCCCCATCGCGGAGAGCGAGAAGGTGGAGGGCGGTCCCCTGTCGGGGTCAAGTTTGAGATCCGCGATTTCACTACCTCAGGATCTAGGTCTCCTACATGATGGCAACCGAGAAGAGAAGTCAGCAGGCCCTGCCCTGGGTTGCACATCACAAAGAGGTGGTTTTCAATTGCGGCACCACCTAGAAGGTAGAAGAAGGGGGGGCTTGGATATGGGGCTTCCCCCCCAGGCCCCAGCTATAGATTTTAGGTTATATGCTGGAAGGGATGGTCTCCTGCCTCCCTGACCCCCACCAAGACTCTAGAAAGGAATGGGGAGGGGGTCACCGCCCCCTCAGAGTGCCTTCTGCCGGGGACCTGCCTTAGGGGATGACGGGGCCCCTCCTCCACCACAGCTGCTGGACCCAGAGGCCCCGCTCGCCCACTACTCTGAGTTTTAGGGTGTCATTAAAAAGATGGGTCTAAAAGAAAAATGTATTAAAATTCCAATTAACCATCCACATGCCCCACAAGCCAGCAGGTCTTCATTTCCACCTTGGCGAGAAAAAGCTTGCCTGCATGCCCAAGGGGGCGGGTGCAAGATTGCTCCCTTCTGCGCTGTGTGTATCGCAAACTAGCGGGAACGATGAAGATGTCCAGCCCACAGCAGACCCGCTGCAGGAGCTGCCCCCCCACACACACCGCACAGAGCGAGAGCTTCGGACCGTGGCACGGACTTGCACTCACGCTGTCGTGTGCAGGGGGCACACGTGCGAGGGCAGAGTGACAGCATGGGTGATGCCAGTTACAGATGGCAACAACAGAGACGGCTCGTCCCCGTCCTCCCCTCCTCCCCAGTCCTCCTCCCCTGCTCCTCTTTCCCCTCCTCCCCTCTTCTCCCTCTTCTCCTCCTCCTCCTCCTCCCCCTCCTCCCCTCCTCTCCATTCCCCCTCCCCAGTCCTCCTCCTCTGCTCCTCTTTCCCCTCCTCCTCTCCTCTCCCTCCTCCCCCTCCTCTTTCCCCTCCTTTCCCTCCTCCCCTCCTCTCTCACCTCCTCTCCTTCCTCCTTACCCACCTCTCCCTCCTCCCCCTCCTCCCCACTCCCCCTCCCTAGTCCTCCTCCCCCTGCTCCTCTCTCCTCTCCTCCCCTCCTCCTCCCCCTCTTCCTCTCCTCCCCTCCTCCCCCTCCTCTCCTCCTGCTCTCCCTCCTCTCTTCTTCCTCCTCCTCTTCCTCCCCTTACTCCTCCTCCCCTCCTCCTCTTCCCCCTCCTCTTCATCCTCCTCCTCTCCCTCCACCCCTTCCTCTTCCTCCCCCTCCTCTTCCTCCTCCTCCTCCTCCCCCTTCTCCTCCCCCTCCTCCTCCAGGCCAGCTACTCCCACAACACAGAGGGCCCCGGGCTCACCAGCTGGGGGGACGTTCACGCTCTCTGCAGCTTGCCACTCTGTAGGGTCATCTACCCCCAAGGGTTCCATCCACAAACTCCCCAGTCCTGTGCCCCTGGGGCACGGGAATAACCTCAACAGTTCACACGGGTATTGGTTCCTAGAGCTGCCTGCACAAACTGCTAGAACAACAGAAATCTCTTTCCTCACAGTTCTGGGGGCTGGAAGTCGAAGATGAAGGTGTCGCAGGCAGCCCTGGCTCCCCCTGAGGCCTCTCTCCTGGGCTTGTGGATGCCCGCCTCCTCCCCGTGGCCTCACATGACCTTGCCTTTGGGCACATCTGTCCTCGTCCCCTCTTGTGATGCAGACGCCAGTCCCACTGGATTAGGGCTGGTGCTAATACCCTCACCTGAACTTCACAGACTCTTTAGAGAT